AATTTTTATATATTTAAATTTATAGTACAGTACAGTACTATTTAAATATTAGTACAGTACTGAATTTTGGCAGACCGTCCTTGGTATATCACATTTGACTTAGGCTTTGTCGACAACAGCCCACTTAGTATAGGACCAAGAATAGTGTCTATTTAGTTACTTTTCTATATATTTTGCTGTAGTTCGGTTAGTATTGTTGGCCAAGAGATCGTTAGAAAGAGTTGTCACAAGTTTTAGAGTATTGTTTGATTAAATTGTTGCATTCAAGATATATACTTTAACATATTTGTTGTCCTGTTATACTAATTTAAGAAGTAAATAATATTGACTATTTTGATACATATAATGTTAATTTTTTGAAGAAGATAAGCTGAAATACCTACTTTTTATAAAAATTTTCTCAAAAAAATAGTAGGTCAATAAGAGTATATTAGGTTCTTCTTGTAAGTTTTATAATAGTATAGTTTAGTTTCTTAGTTTTTACTAAATATTCTTGTCTAGAAACCTACAATGATGTTGTTTTCAAAATATCTTTTTGGTTTGGATATCAAAAGTATGGAAAGTCTACTTCTTTTCTGCTTACTGTTTACAGAAACTTTTTTAGTTTAAATACTAAACATATAGAGGAGTCTACTAATAGAAACAAAAGCTTAACTTTTGTACAAACTATCTACAAATACCTGTACCTCAGTATATCGCATTTAAGAATTTTATTGACAACAGTTTATAGAAAAGAAGCTTGACTTAAGATACAGACTTGCTTTTTGTTATATGCTAACTTCTTGGTATTTGATATATATTAGCTTTGTTGATAACAAGTTTGCTTGTATAATACAAGAGTATTTTTGTGTCTACTTTGTTACTTTTCTATATTATTTACTATAGTTTGATTTTTGTTGTTAACTAAGAGATTATCAGAAAAAGTTTCTTTAAATTAATTTTAATAAATGTTATGGCTGATGCTTGAAACGGCTGAAGCTAGAAATCAGGGACCCTAATTTAAAAATATAAACCTTGCCAAAATCCACTTATACTCTTTCTTTATCAAACTAACCCTAAATCCTAATCTAACTATGAAAAAAAAAACTAAAAAAATGCACCCCAAAAAAAATTGAAAATTTTATATTAAAATATTTAAAATTTCCAGCTTTAGCTATTTCCAGCTTCAGCCACAACAATAAATAATTTTATTTTTTATTTTTTAATATTTAGTATATCTAGTAAAATATGATATTATATTTGCTAAATAATTTATAATTTTTTTAAGTTTAGTACTACCAGAACAACTGATTTGCATTTAAATTTTAATAATACTAAATATATTCTAAAACAAATAAATTAGTTTGCATTATTATAATTTAAAATAAATAATTTAAATAAAATTACATATATATTTTCATTTTTGTTATTTATTTCTTGATCAGTAACTATTTAATGATAAAATAATCAATATCTATACTATTATATAATATATTAATATAGGCAGAATTACCATATTTACAATATTTAATTTCTTGATATTGTTGCTCATTCTTTTTAACAAAAATATTTTCAAAAAAAGACAATCTTGAATAGTAGTAACACCACTACAAATATTAATTAAATATTAAATCTTAAAAATAAAAAAATTAAAATTAAATATATTGTATAAATTAAATAACTTTAAAAAATTATTTATATTATTAAATGCATTGTTTTGACTATTTATATTCTAGATAGTTGCAATTCTATCTTCAGATATTGCAGGATATTTTACAGGTAATACAGTATGGATAATTTGATTTATATACAATTTTTGATAAAAAATGCTATCTTTTGTAAATCTTGATTATTGCTTATATTGCTTATATTATTCTAAAAAATCATAAGTATTTACAAATAAAAATAATTTAAAATTTTGACAATATTATAATCTTCAAACTAATCATCATTCCCAAATCAAGCTAATAAATTTTGCAACATGATTATTTTGATAATTTTCATACTTTTAGATTTGACAATATCAATATTAAATTTTTATAACTTCAATATATGATACTTGCAATTCCCATTTGGTTTGAAAATCATAGTGTTGCCAAAGTTATTATTATTTTACTCTAATAATAATACATAAATTTAATTACTATATTTAGATCTAAATCTTCATTAAACTATGATTTATTAATATTTAAATCTGAAAACTCTTTCATAATTCCAGTTTTTAAATTATAGTTTTCTTCGATATTTGAATCCGAATTAGAATCCATTGTGTAATTAATTATTTATTTAAAAAAAGTGAAAAAATTCAATTCATGTTATCGATATATATATAAGAGTATTTTTATGCATCATTTATCGTTATTATCATTTATCGTTATCATTTATCGTTATTATCATTTATAGTAATTATAATTTTTCGTTATTATCATTTATCATGAATTTATCATACGCCGCGGGGTTTCCTGTTTATCGTTATTATATATTGTTATCAGATTCGATATATCTCATTTACTAGAGAATGTGTCCAGAATTTAAAACCCCGATGATGGGCTTTTACTGACTCGCCCAGATTACATCTTACACAATACATACGTACATAATTTATTGGTTACAATACATACATACATTAGTTGTACATTACATAATTTTGATAATTGATTAGGGTATTTTTACATACATATTTTATAAACTATACATTACATGTTTGCTATATAGTCGGATCAACTCGAATTTGAGATCTGGTCATAATCAGGCCTACCGAAAAATCAATTTCAATTAATTGCATTTCTGAAATCTGTGACAGGTTAGTCAATTACCTGCCTAACTCTATCACGGCGGCATAAAAATTGACCCTGATTGCATATGACCTATCAATTATGCCATCAATTACGTAAAATTATTACAAATCGAAAAAGAAAATTGTTTAAATATTTCCTTTTCAAAGCGATAATGATAATAAAATTTTAACATTTAGTCAATATAATTGAAACATATAGTCGACCTTAATTTTTTCTTTTACTGTAACCTAATTCGCAGAAGTTCTTTGAATACCTATGTGAATTTCTTAATTATTTGAAGTTGAAACACACAAATATATGGAAGGCAGCACTACAATGAATACACAAATAGTTTCTTGGAATTCTTTACCTGAAACTTTAAAAAATGTCCTTCCTCAAAATTATACATACAAAATTCAAAATTTCAACATCCTGCCGTCATATAAAACACCAGAAAACTTTGATGTTTCAAATTTCGAATTAGATGCATTTGCAAACGTTAATAG